TATGAGTAACATCTCTAAAAGACAACAGATGACCATCTATGACTTCTACATGAATAGATTTAAATTTTTTTTATTAAAGATATTCTAATTCTTTTAGCAAATTCTTTATCTAAGAAAGACGCCGAGGCTCCTGAGTCTAATAAGACAAAGGCTTTGTAATATTTAGGTCCTAAAATAATATTTAATATTAAACTAAAAGAGAGTTCTGAGGAAAGAATAGGACTTTTATTAGATATTATACAAGATTTCAGCCACATAGTCCCTATTATAGCTGCACATATTTATTTTCTAATATATTATATTTTTTGACATTCGTATTCCTTATTATATAATTACGTCAATTCTTTAGATAATATTGAGCAGTGTGGTAAGATTCTCCATAATATAAGTATAATTCTTTTTGATGGCAATGAATCTTTTCTTACTCAGTAAGAAGTTTAAACATATTACATTAATTTGTATATCCTCTACTTTTGAATGTATGTGTTCAGGAGGCATTGGTATTGCTATTGAATTATAGTAATATTGAGGCCCACTTATCTGACTCTTAGATCAAAATTCAAAAAATCGATTGTTATAGTTCATAGCAAAGTTAATTGCTTGATTCAATGTTTGAAGATTAGGTAAGTTGAGCATCAATTTCTTTATCTCATATTATAATCCATAGAAAAATTAGCTATAATTACAATATCATTCCACTTTATATCAATTGCAAGTTGTCAAAATTATGACATATATAATTTTATGGATCGATTGCCTTGTCATAAAATACAGATCTTATTGGTTGCAATATAAGTTTCATCAAGTTTTTCATACATGGATCAAAACTCCACCAAAAAAGCCTTCAAATTATCTAGTATCAAATCTCATCATTCAAGAAAAGATAAAAACCATGATAATGTTGAACTTCAAAGAAGTGTATCAATGAATTTAAGTTATGATCTTGGAGTTGGAATTGAAGTTCAATCACAAGTTATACTTGATTGATAAATCCTCAAAACTTGAAACTTGTGCAATAAAACTTCTTATGCATGACAATTCCTAGTTCTCTAGTAACAGTGTCATGATGTAAAATGGCTAATAGATGAAAAGGTGAAGAAAAAATCATATTTTTGAAGATCTTATTTCAATTAAATTATAACAAATTATCTTGGAAAAATAAATAATAGTCAAGGGATAGAAAAATTAAAAGTGCTAATATTGCCTTTTTATAAAATAGGCTTCTATTCACTTTGTAGGACCACAAATAGAGCAAAATTAGGTAGATTAGAAAAATAAACAATATAAAAATATTTAAAAAGAAATTAAGAGTAGTTTCTAATAAAAATTTCCTAAAAAATCTAAATATTGATACTCAAAGAGGGTCGGTTATGAATCAGGATCGAAATCAGACCCTGAGGCACAAAACCAAGCTTCAACAATGATTCCAAAATTCTTTAGTAAATTGAAGAGTGGGATTAGATATTAAACTTGATAGGATTTTGATGAGCATTGATTTTGGATGATTTAGATTTGTATTGACTATATAAGAGCTTTGCAAAATCGGGATTTGTTTTGGATGACTCTAGATTTGTGAAATAAAGTGGATGATACTTTTTGGAGAATTTTGTAAGTTTGGCAGTAGATCTACAAATAAAATTTTGAAGATTTGTGATTTTATATGTATTTGATATATGCTGTGAGTTTAAGCTAGATGGAAGGGTTGGAACAAGGATTATTGAGGTTTAAATGGGTCAAAATCTTGAAAATTAGAGTTTTAGGTCCAATGAGGGTTTTTAAGATTTCTTGCAATCTATCAATTGGATTGGAGTAAAAATTATGTGCGAGGATAATAGACTGATTTCTTTACATAAGAGAAAAATTTAAAATCATAGAAATGGTTCAATAAGGAGATATTGATACTGAAAATTCAACATTTAGATTGGAGAAGGAGACTGGCCAACATCTATGCAAATATTAGGGTTGATCTTCTTTTTGGTGAGTTTGATCTTCTTCAAAAAAATTTCACTCGTTATCAACTTAATTGTCAAGAGGTGTAAAAAAATTGAGTTAATATCAATAATTCATTCATTAGTTATTTAGATTTAAATCTATTATAAGAATTACTTGAAATTATTTAGGATTTGATTAGGATTTGGTTAAGATTTATTCAGGATTTGATTAGGATTTGATTAGAATTTGTTAGAATTTGATTAAGATTTGGTTAAGATTTGTTAGGATCTGACTAGGATTTAGTTAGAATTTGTTTAGAACTTCACTAGGATTTATTTAGAATTTGGTTAGGATTTATTTAGAGTTTTTTTAGGATTTATTTAGATTTTATTTAAGATTTGACTAGGATTTATTTAGGATTTGGTTAAGGTTTGTTTAGGATTTGACTAAGAAATTGATTAGGATTTTTTAGGATTTTATTAGGATTTATTTAGTTTTTGATTAGAATTTGACTAAGATTTAATTAAGGTTTCTATTTTAATATTTTATTAAGATTTTTATTTTAGTACATTCTTGAATTTCTATATTATTTCTTTATAATTTCTTTAAAAGGTCTTTAAGAATAATTTGTGTTTCTTATATAATTTTTTTGTAATTTTAATTTAATTTTATTGATATTTGATTGTACTTCCTAATCTTTAATTGTAATTTGTTTAAGAATCTATTAGAGTTGTTAGGACTTATTGTTGTAATTTTTTTTTTATTTCCTATAGCTAGGTGCCTGGTGCATTCTCAATCCAAACTCCTCATATTACGACAATGGAAAGATCTTCCAAAATAGGAGAAGGGACATGATTAGGTGCAGATATTGAAACAACTCCAATTATATCTATATCTTCACTTCATGCCATTCTTGTTGCTCCTTGTGCTGATAAACTAAGTTAATGCATTGTAAGCATTAGCTCTCTCAATTTCTTTTACATTTGTGCCATTATACTCTTCATTTCAACAAGCTCTGTCATAATAATACTTAAAAAATAAATATCTAATATTGCTCAAGATAAGTAGGAGAGTGGACTTGAGAACAAAGAAGATACTAAGAATAATATTAGTTTAGAAGAGGATAATCCACAACTTCTAATATACTTATATCTTATTAAGAAAAAAAAAATAATCTACTTTTAATCAAGAAAAGACAAAGTTCTAATATTGTAAGTTTATTCTTGTCAATCTATCAAAGACATGAACTGGAAGAAGATGCATAAACTTAAAAAAAAATTGTTAAAAGAAAAGTAAAAAAATAGTACTAAAGTAGTATGTATATTAAAAGGAAACTAGAATGACTATTTCTAAAAGACAAGAAAACTATGGATTCTTAAATCTACACTAAAAGAAAGAAAAGAGTTGATAAGAGTGAAAAGGGCTTTATTCTTGCCTTTATATATATAATTTAATTAAAAGCTATGTAGTGATGTTCTATAGGACTTCTAATATGTGTTGACTTTGCAAGACACATACATTAGCTTATAAAGCAAGTTTTCTATGTGTAGGCCACATATTTAGCTTGTTCTTCAAGTTACCAACATGTGCGGTACATGGCCAACTTATTGAGTATGTTTTTAATCTAAAAAGTCAATTATAAACACCTAAAAAGTCAAAGAAACATCTATGAAGCTTTTAGAAAGCTTCTATAGAAGATATTATAGAATTAATCTATTTTTATCTACTTTTATTTAATTATATAGGTAATTATTGGTTTACATGTATATGTCCATGACAACAACATTGACCATAATAAAATTTAACACAACTAAACAAAATGGTGCATGAAAAGAAAAACAAAGCAAAAGAAAATAGACCAAAATTGAATAAAAAAGTACAAACCAAACTTTATCAAGATGAAAGGATCAAAGTCATACATGATTGGATATCCAAATGGCCATGGCTATTCTTAATTATACTTTATCTAAGCATCTTAGAACTTTTTAGAATATTCCTAATAGTAGGCTCCAACTAGATAACCATCTTAAGCCCTTTCTAAAATATTCTATAGTTGATCTTATATAAACGATCAATCTAGCCTCAATTCTAAAAACTTCTAAAAACTTCTAAAAACTCTCCAAACATGGCTTCAACTACCTATTTCTATGCATTGAGAATATGAATATCTTATCCATATCCCATTACATTAGGATTTGATTAGGATTTTATTAAGATTTCATTAAGATTTGATCTAAGATGTAATTAAGATTAATTAGAATTTTAATTAGAATTAAATTAGGATTTGATTAGGATTTCATTAAGATTTGATTTAGTTTTTTTATTCTAAGACCACCATTTGGATCCTACATCCTTCTAATCAATGGCCACTTCTTCGCTTCTCAGTCTAACCTCTATCAATTTTTAACATCTTTCAATTTCTACTATTTGACATCTATTTGCATTCTACAATATCATTTGCATAATTCACTTCACTATTCATAGATATGCTCAAGAAAACACTTTTTAGAAGTAATCTGAGCCAAAAAGATATTCAATTAAGTGCCAATATAGAAGAAAATGGCAAAAAGAAGGAAAGCATGGACTTTGCTTATTTAAGAGCCTCCACAACTATGACATAGTTTGATACACTTTCTACTATAGAGTAAGTCTTCTTTAATTGTTAATTTGCCTTAGTCATGTTTAATCAATTCATGTCATTTTAGCATAGCGGCATAGAGATTTGGAAGCAATAGCATGTTGATTTTGGATACTAGTCAATGGTTTTGGAACTTGAACTCTTACCATTTTGAATAGGCTCTCAAACAAAGTGTATGTAATTAGTGATATGATTTTTGCTTCTCTTTTTGTAATTTTTAGTTGATTTTACAATGGCTTCTATACCACATGTATGTACTCATTGACCTAAATTTTGTACAAAATCCCATCTATGTGATTGCAAACATGGTGGCCTTATAACCCCCAGCTTTTGCTTTAATTCCTCTCGTTTTTACTTAATTCTATCCCTTTGTTTAGGAGTCAAATGCAAAAACCTTTTTGATAATTTTTTTCAATTCAACTGCTATGACTTTTTTTTTTTTTTCTTTTTTCTTTTTTGCAATACTTCAAAACCTTATTTTCCTACCAAAAAAATTATATATATATGTTAAAAAAACCTCTCACAAATTGGTCGAAATCACTAAGTTGATGGTTTAAGGTATTTTGATGCTAAGTCTTGAAACGACCCCAGTACAAAGTTGCAGTATATTACACTAATTGATCGTTGTACGGCAACCTATTTTTGTGAACTCCAACACTTCAAGTTCATGTAGAGTAGCAAGGCGATGTGGTGGAGTGATGCGGAGAGTCTAAGCCCAAGGCTTAAGCCTTTCTACTGTCACAACCCATTTTAGGTCACTGTAAGCCTCTGTGTAATACACACAAGTTTCTGGTTTGCGTTATGAAGCTAAAAGATTGATTGTCTCCTAAAAATTTGATTTCAGAAAGAGATACACCCAGAAACTTACTTGACACGCCTCCAAGTGAGCACTCCTGATCGAACTTTCTTTGGCACAGCCGCGGCCCATGCATTCAAGTCTGGGAGGGGCCCTGTCAAAGCCAAGTGATTGTCCTCCTTTGTCTCCATCTTGCGCAAATTCAGCTGGCGACGTATAACCAACCACAAGTTTAGTATCCAAGCAAGCAGTTCTCATTAAGGAGGACTGAAAAGTTTATCAATTCTATTAAGTAAAAGGACCAACACAAAACATCGTCCCCAACTCAACGAAACTTTAAAATAGTACGCATTCAGGAGATGAGAAAGAGATGAATGACGTGACATTGCAGTTGGAATCTTGTGATGCTCAAAATCCAAAGAGAACTACGATGTACCTCGGGGAAAACGCGAACCAATGCTGAGATTGTTGCATCCCTGGCGGCTGATCCATCTTCCCAAGTCCATGTTCCGTCGTCATAATCAGGTGTAGAGTCTCGTCGTTCCACACACGTTCCGCCGCAGTTGATCATGATGCGTCCTCCGGGTTTGAGCCTCTTCTTGAGTTCATACCACGCTTGCACCTGCCAATACTTCTTTCACATCTTGGAGGCAAGAAATTCTCCTTGCGAACAATTCTAAAACAAGAGAAAAGAGAATAGAAGCAAAGAGATTTGAAACTGAGCAATTTGAAAATAATGGATTTGATTGTACAAACCTTCTGAAGTTGGGGCAATACCTCGCCCTGGTAAAAAAGATCCACTACTATTCCTGCCAGAAGACAAACACGCAGTACATGAGAAAGGTTTTTCTCCATATCAGGCTGCAAGTCAATGACCTAGAGAGTTCCATTCCCTAACTTCAAGAAATTGAGCCAGTAACTTCTTTACATCTACGAATACGTTAAACTTCTTTTTATTTGTTGAGTGGATGCTAAATCGTCAAGTACCCCTTTCCAAGGACTTGTGTTTATGTCAACAACTTCATGAACAAACTGTAAGCAAAAGTACCAGCAAAGCCGCCTGCCACAGTAGCATTTGGAGTCAGCGCGTCGTCGATGTGGACCGGGAGATAGCCGCCCTCCTGATTTGGAGACTCAAGTGATGCTAATCCCAGATGCAGTCTAGCCTTCTCCACCAGCTGCAGTCAAATCATAATCAGCTACTGGCATGAAAAAATCGAGGCAAATTCGTCAGTATATAGCCAAGAATTTGTACCTCGTGAATATTCCACAACCAAAACAATGATTTCCTCTCCACGCAAACTTCAATGTCAGCAGAGTTGCTTTGTACCTGAGTTGTTAACAAGAAGGGTGAATCCTGCGTATTTAGAAGATGACGACTCGGCGGATTCCAGAATACTCAACTCGTCATAGGCAGTCTTCATCACACTCAACATCGTATAATCACTCTCGCCATCTTGAGCCGCCGTTTCATATTGACTGCCATCTTCCTGTTGAGATTTTAGGTCAAAACAACGTATTACAGCAATTGGCTGCTGGTAACGACGTCGATTGATCACAGAAGCATTACTACAGCATATAATCAACCACGAATTGGACTGTTCCTGGCTTCGGCGCATTACCCACCTGCTTTTGGAGCAAAGCCCAGGCTCCGCTCCCTTTAGAAACAATCTGGTGGCAGGGACGAGCCTTCCCTTTAAAGCTGTACCCAGATGCAGAAACCAACCGGTTGTGGTAGGGAATGCCAGCATTTATGCAACACCGAGCCGGAGATTGCGTCAACGACAAACCTCTGGCACCCAACATTGTCTCCAAAATTTGTCCCGACGATCACATCATTGAATCCTCACAACCTGAAGCTGTTTCAACTTCAGCGACGACTTTCAACCACGATTACAGTCGCTCTGCCTTGACATGGAGTGGACTTGTGGGTAACGCACTCTCAAGCTTTTCGTTCGGTTCCAGAAGAGAGAAAAAATAAATTAGGGGAATCAAGTCCCAGTGCATCTGGGACACATGCGAATGATGGAGATACCGTGCAGACGTGGACGATGTAGTGGATAAAGCTGATATTGGGTAGAGAAGGCTAGGCTGGTTCAGCAGAGGGCAACTTGGCCTTCCGAAATGACACCTCTGGACCAGATTTTTTTCCATAAAGTAGTACTCGTGACCGCTTTTCCAATCGACCTTCTGCAATGAGCACTTCATTTCCTCACAGCGTCCATCCAGTGTGTGGACCACCGTGATGTCGATCCATTGCTGATGGTGCTGCACCTGCTCCTCGCAAGTTTTCTCTTGAATGGTGACGAGTGGTAAACGTCTTCGTCAAATGTTTAGGTAGTTTGATTGTTTCCAGTTGTGCGAGGAGTGTTCTGAGATTACGTTTAGGGGTTATCTTGTTGCGTGTTCTGAACGACGATGGGGACTTTGTGGGTAGCTACGTTTGAATCTACTCTAGTTTCTGGTCTGCCCGGCTGTGTAATCCCTGGAAGTGATTCCCAGCACAGGATTAAAGTTAGCAATTGGGCTCCTCCCCTGGCATTAAAGTCTAGGAGAGTTTTTGTCTCTGCGCAGCCGTCATCCTCCCAAGGTGAGGAATCTAGCTCTGTTGACAAAGTATCCGATTCAAGCAATCAAGATACATATTATAGTAGCTCCGAGGCAATTATCAGTGCTGCAGGTTCAGGTTCTGGAACTAAAGACTTAGATTCTCTACTCCCCTCCAGAAAACAGGGAAATGAAGTGGACCCAAAACCTCAAGGAAGTTCAGCTCAGTCTGCTCTCGAGAGAGCGATGGCTTACAAAAAGATGAAAGGGCAGGGCGCATCATCAAAATCTAGCCCTGCACCTCAAACTAAACCCTCTTCACCTCCTATGCCTCCTAGCGGTCCAATTAGAGTTGAGGTGCTGACTGGCAAGCCAATTCAATCAAGTAGATCTTCGTCAGGTTTGGACTTGGAACTAACTAGATCTTTGAATTTCGATTCCGCTAGTTCTAGTATAGGTTCGGGGTCTGCTTCTCCACAGGGAGGGGAGCAATCCGAGGTAGTAGTGTCCAGTTCAGTTCCCAAATCTGAAAACAATCAGATGGAGGGGAGTTTAGCAGCGCAGTTGTCATTTGAGAAAGCGAAGGCTTATAAACTGCAGCAATCTGAGATGATTGCTGCTCTGAACGAGAAAAAGCCAGAACCTGCAGCCCCGCCACCCATCGTTGAAGATGAGGACAAGGACAAGAATGTCGTGGAAGTTGAGATTTACACGCGGGATGGAATTGTCAAGCGGAGGGTATTAAAGCCTGAAACAGCCTTTGCCAATGTGAAAAATTACAAGGCCAAAGGTGTGTCAACAATGGACTTTGTGGGGCTAGGGTTTGCGGACAAGAAGAGCACGAATAGGCCCGCTGGATTGAGCGAATCATTTGAAGCTCCTTCAGGTATCCCTCCAATTATGTCTTGAAAGAAAATTTTAGGGCATGAACTTTCCCAAAGCTATTCTTCTACAATCAGTGTAGGGTTGGTGCACCTCATGACTGCTCATACCTCCAATTGCTGTCGAATTTTGGAAATCAGTGGAACGCTTTCTGGTTTATTCGTTGTGTAATGATTTGCACAGGTCCTTTGCCGGAAGTGGAAATGTTGACGAGGGATGCGGGTGTGGCTGATCCGGAAGCCACGGCTGATAGTGAAAATGCATACAAACCTCGGGTCGCAACTTGGGGAATGTTTCCTCGGCCTGCGGACATATCCAAAGCAGTAAGTCTTTAGTCTATTTCTCTATCTTTCAGTCTCACAATTGGTGGTATCAGCAGCTGAAACTTCTTCTGGTCGGCACGTTGTAAGGCTTCAGTAATAATCTTATGTCTTCAAGAATTGGCTGGTTTTAGTATGGAGGAGGTCGCAACATCAAGCCTGGTCAGAAGCTTGAAACCGAAGAAGAGAGGATAGCAAGAGAGACTAAGACGAAGAAGTTGCTAGATGATTATAAGAAGAAAGTGGGTTTAAATGTATCTCCCAAGGTCAAAGCTATGTGTGAGATGGTAAGCAATAAACCCTGCGGGCCGTTGCCAGCTCTATTTATCCTCTGATTCAAACCATGAATTGTACGTAGATCAGATTGAGGATGTCAGTAGTTTATTTGAGACTTTGTAGTTCATGGAGTGATCTCCTCTCTGACACTCACATTGAATCCGCAGAACATGAAGCAGGGGCAGAATTTGATGGACAGAGGCCGGTTGGGAGAGGCTCAAGCGGCATTCTTAAGCGTAATGGAGGAGATGCCTTTTCCGGTAATTCTTAATCCTTGACATACCTTGCTAGATCATAGCTGTTACCAGTTTCTGTCCAGCAATAATTAAAATCAAGCTCCGCTATTCATGTTTGGATGGTGTTCGAGGAACCTATATTAGGTGTGTTACAGGGTAATTTTCTCGTTCTTCAGAGCAGTAGACTTGGGTGTGCTGTGAAGGAAATGCACAGAAAAAGCAATGATTTAGGGGAAACTAAAGACTGAAACTATGTGTTTTCTTAGTTGGCGATTACCAGAAAGTGAAGAAATCTAAATATACTGGGTTTGCAGAGCGAATTGCATGGAATGGCAGCCCTGCAAGAGGCTGTCTGTCTGGATTCTTCCAACAGGTTTAACCTTCGTCATGGCCATTGAATTTTATTTAATTTCTCTCTCTTGAACGCAGCGCAATTTCGGAGTTTAAGCTCTCTCTTGACACTTTACTTCGACCTTAAATGGCTTGACTAAGAGTGAAGTTGGGCTTAGGCAGATCGGATGAAGCGAAAGTCAAGTATGAGAAACTGGTGTCTCACCCTAACGGGGCAGTTCGCAAGAAGGCCCGGCAGTTACTTTTTGGTTTCCAGGTGATTGCTTACTAGTGTCTTTTGGATGTGGTTTGGAGTTCTAGCGAAATGAGTAATCTCAGCTATATCAAAACTTGTGTATTGCAATTGAATAATTGTTTCTCTCGTGTCCAGGCTGCCGTAAAGCTGAAAGTAAAATCACGCTACGACTGGGACAGCTCCACCTACCGCAAGTACTTCGACGCTTTTGCTGATGGATACAACACTATGTACAAAAACACTGAAGAACCTGCTACTTTTGAGGAGACGCTCATGCAAACCGTACCGTATGCTCTCCTGCTCATATTCCCAATCGTCCTCATCTTTACACTTGCTGTGCTAAAGAACGTTTGAAAGCCTCTGTGACAGTTAATGTAGTTGGATGGATTCTGAAACGAATTAAATGAAGTTCGAACATGATTTGCTTCAAGTCGTGTTCGGCTACTTTTTGTATCATGGATATTAGAAATTGATACATGTCAGACTTAGAAATGCTGATGTGCATCATTTCAATGGATGTTAAACAAGTTGGCATCTCAATTGCACTTCGTAGAATATCCTCATGCGGGCGCTCGCTCCATGACGTTTTGCCTCTCGTATGCTGTACAATCCTCAATATCCTCATTGTTGTGTCTTGGTTGCTAAGCATCTTGGGAACTGATGTAGAATGTGCTTGACCTACATTTGGTAAGAGTAAAGTACAGGTAACTCACTGTTTCATATATAAATATATATATATATATATATATATGAAAATTCTCTTTGACATTTTCATTGGCGTTTGCTCGCAGTTGCGTGTCACTCTACCCCTCTGGTGAAAAGAACACTTTATTAGCCAGTGGGTACATCATTTTACATCTACAAGTGCTTATAACTGACATGACCAACTTTTTGTTTGCACCTATGGTCATCAAAGTTGAATTGACTGTCTTTCTAAGGAGGCGCCTGCAGATCGAGCACGTCACCTATATTCCAGGAAATAATTCCGTGTTCCTTTGCGAATGTTCATACCGAACGGTTATCGTTGTTTTTATGGCATTTTATTACTTGTAAGACAACGTACAAAACCTTTTTGACGTAGGCTACTCAGTACAAGATCAGGTAAGCGCAACGGTATTTGTTTTTGTCGTTATTACACAATCATCCGGAAGCGAATTTTCAGGGACTTGCAAAAATAGTTCGCATTTCACAGTATTGTACCGTGTTATTCTTGTAAGATGTGACATATTGTACAAGAGAATTGAAAATGCTTTGAAATATGTATGTTGTGGTCATTACATTTTAGAATTTATCCTTTCAGTATCTATTTTCACATGTTTAGGCTGGATTTGTAATATTCCACTGAATCACAGTATTGTCTAGGTATACGTGTTATGATTGGGGAAAAATTTCTGGCCTATTTCAATTAAATCACTTCCTCACGAGTATGAACAATATTTGAAAATGATCTACATATCTTACTAAACAGGGTCAATTCCTAGAAGTGTGAAATTAGGAGCTAAGGTTGTAAATTGTTTTCCACAGCTACCGCCTAGCTCAGCTTGCAGTAAATGTGAGCGCGGTTGTCTTCTATCCAGTTAAATACTTTCAGGAAGATTCCGGATGCCAAAATAGTGGGCTTGAGTGCCGGATCAGCGAAATGTTTAAATAGCAACAGACTAATTGCGCAACCTTGGTATACAGCGGTATGCAAATAGATAAGTAGCATGTTTGTGAAAGTGGAGCATCTTTTCTACTAAGATTGACATTACTTCCACGTAAGATTGACATCATTTCCTCTAAGATTGACATTTCACTGTTGAAGATCACCCAGGCAGTGCAAAAAAGCTCAGCTTTAACCAACCTACAGCACTAACGAAAACGTTTTTTCGACAAATCATATCGAAGAGTGCATTGTGCATCCCTAGGATATTTTGCAGTGACCAAGATATTAGCATCCACTCACTAAAATTCTTCAAAGACTAATGGTTGATCCCCTCCCTTGTGAGGTTTATAACTTCATGGACAGATCATATACTTGATGTTATTCTATTCTACTGTACATAAAGCATATTCCGAGTTTTCCATTACAATATATACCGAAAAATAGCACAATTGTACTCGTGGGCGTGGCGTTGGTTTCACAAACATTGACAGCATGTTCGTAGATTGTCAAGGTGAAAAAAGATCTCCATAATCGGATATTCGTAAACAAAGAAACACCAAGCGAGGAAAATATTGATTACAACATCATTCAACAGATTTATGAAGCGCTAGAAACACACAAGAGGAGTATCACTGCTCACGAGTGAAGGCTTTCAAAATCGTTTATTCAGATCTTCCGAGGTGAAATCATCCACACAGTCCACTCTGGGCAGATGGTTTCTAACCTAGTACATGTTTAAAAGTAGGACATAGCCTTGGCTCAAAAGCCCGTCAGCTCGTGTGACCAGTAACCGTGAATCGTCGCGCCACAGTTCGAAATCCCAAAAATCCCTGCAAATAGACACATATTAAAAATGGCTTACAAGTAAAATCTTCGGAAGCAAAATTGTCACATACCAGAAGCTTGATTGTGTTCACAAATGGTTCCTGGTCTCGCCACATTCGCTCGAGAGCTGCTTAGACTTTCAATTGCGTCCTACGCAGCTGCAAGTACAATGGAAACTGGGTTCATGTTCCGTGCACGCTGTCCATCCTCGGGACAAATGAAAAGTCCTGTCCACGATGCTGGACCGTTTGATGTAGCCTGTTACCCACTCACTTCTTGGAGGAATGCATCTTCGTCTCCGTAAGATTCCAAAACGAGCTTCAATTCGAGGGACAACAGGACCTATTCTTTTGAAAATCTATTTGGATCTACACTTAAAACGCAAGTCAAGTATACTAATTTTGTTTTCCCTCTGCCATCCGACTACTAAGCTCCAGAAAATTATCACTAATTCTTTTATTTGTACCACTGAACTCACCTTCCTGCGTCCCCAGAGCCCTTAAATCTAGCCCGAGCTTCAGTGACTGGAATTCAGATTTGAAAAAGCGACGGTTGTGAAGATGCAGTACTCCAAGATGAAAGTGGGCAACACGGCAAAATTCTTGGTAACAAAATTCTGTTCTAGCAAGGGAGAAGCCGCTAGACGGGCTCGTTGAAGCTTCGCAATGTTGAACAACTTCTCTAGGATTTAACAAGTGAAGCAGAAGCAGGAGTTTCGGAATATGGTCTTCTATTACACAGAATAATCTCCCGCGCCACAAATCATTGGAAACGACTAACACAGCATTGGATTTAAATGAATCTCTCAATTGCACAGGAAAAGCACAGCACATCCGCTGAGAAAAAAAAAAAAAAAAAAAAAAAAAAACACAGTCCTGGCTCTAGACCCCAAGAAGAAAGGTTCTACAAGGCGCTAAGATGCAACAGTACTTCTACTGACGACCTCAACCTTCTTATAAATAACACGACTGAGTGTTCAAACAAGCTCCTGAATCTGCCGGGACAGGAAGTGAATTCAAATCCGCAAGGCGAACCTCAACATAGTCTCACACACTTTCCAGCACGAGGAGCAAGCACCTGGGAAAGGAAAAGAAACTACACACGTAGAATTACAAGGAGAGCTACAAGTTCACAACTGTCGAACCCACTATCTCGCACGAACCGCTGAATCAGATCTCTAGTACGCAGCCGCCTAGGACTTAATCCAGGCCAAGGTCTGTGAGGGGGAGGGGGTGTATGCTCGCCAAAGCACATACGAAATGGGAAATGAGGCGCTGAGTTTTAGTGTTCAGAGCGGAGTGAGAAAAGGGGAGTTCGGCAAATAGATTGGCAAGTCTCCGAAGTGGAGGTGAACTTATAGGCAGAGGGTGAGGACTGCGGCGTACCCGAAGATGTCTCACAATCCAAGACGTGCGGGGTGGCTTCATTAATAAGGCCACACAGCCACGCTACGCAAGAGATAGAGAGAAAGGGGTCGCAACACACGCCCACGACGTTCACAGGTCCCGAGCACTACCAGATTCGTGAAGGTCCACAAATATACTATCATGCCCACGATAGAAACAGCACTGTGATTATTATTAGCGCAAGTAAAGCTCTGGTGCCTTCCTTCACCCCCTGGCATCGATAGATTGATATATTGACGTTTAACGCCGGCAATAAAACAGATTCCAGGTCAACCCCTCTCTCTCTCTCCTCCCCCGAGCTCAGGGACCTTCGGTTTGTCTAGCTTGCTTTCCTCCAACGAGGTTCCTTCTGTCTGGCTGTCTGTCTGTCTGTCACGAACCTGCATCGACATGCTGTTTGTTGGACTGAACCTGGACGAAATCGGTGGACGATTCATAATTTCGGCGACGTCGCGCCTGCTGGTGCTGTTGGGTCCCCCGTTATCTGTAGCGATCACCGCAACGTCTTTAATTGTTTTTTCCCACCGCAAGGACTCTCTCTTGCTTTTGTAAGTTTATTGGAAGTAGTAGCAATCCATCGACACCATAACAACCATCACTACATCATATCCCTTCTTGCTTGCTAGCTAGCTCCACTGCCATCGATCCCTCCCTCTTTGCCATCGTCATATCGCATTATTATTATTAATATTAATATTGCGGTGGTGCTTCGGCGGAGGAGGGGGCGGAAACATAAACACATACTTACACAAATACACACACATATACACACAAAAACACACCTTCTCTAGACAACGGGGCGAACTCAACTCAAGCAAAATAAGGCAAATTAAAGTGTGGATTTGTGCATGTTTGTTTTTTTATTTGTGTGTTTGTATAGTTCTCAAAAACTTAAACTAGAACTTCCGTGTGTGGGTTGTCTTTGTGTGCATTGTGTAGTGATTTTCCCAAGTGGGTGGGTCGTTGAAAATATATGGGCCTTGCAGAAAATTGAATTTTGTTTAGATTGTGGTGCTTGTACTTGATTTTTCTGTGATTTGGGTTACAAGGTGTTAAGAAAATTTGATTGTATTCGTGATTTTACAACTTAGAAATGAATCCAGTGTGCTGATATCTGCACAAAAAACGTAAACGCATGTGTTGTTACCTTAGCCCTCTTGAAAGGAGTTTGTGCAGTTTTTTCACTTTGATTTTTTATTTTTTTGGCAAGAGAAATCTGTATGACAATGATGTTAATTAGCTTGGGTGGACAAACCTAGGTTAACTTTGACAGGTTATATTTTCATTAAAAAGTATTTGAGAACATGTATTCATGTGAATGTAAGATAATTTTGTGTGTTGATTTTGGAAATATATGAAATCTATAATATTTAGCATTCTTGAAATGCAAGGAAACAAATTAGCTCAATACAATATCACTTTTTGTTAACTTCATGGGTATACTGCTTTTCTTGAAACATAATAATAATGATGATAATCAAAATAAAAATAAAAATTTGCAATTACAATGAACATGTTTATTTTGCCTATAACTTAGCATTATTTTCAATTCCATTCAAATGAAAAAAATTGTAGAAAAAAACACATTGAAATTAAATAAAATTGAATAAATAATTTACTTTTTTTATTTGATATCTAATTAGAAGTGCTTATTTTGTAATATTTAAATTTTGCATGAATTTATTCAAAAAATGATATTTTATTTCTTGACAAGAAATACATGAGTTTGAATAAATTTTATATTTTAATTATTTGGATAAATATGAAGAAAATAACCAAAAATCATTCAAACTTTATTATGTCACAATGCCAACTTTTTATGTCATCAATGTCATAGGATTTTGCTTAATAGGTCCTTATGATACCACAATTGCAAGTACAACCTTAAAGTGATGTCTACTACATGTAGCACGTTTATAAAGAAAAATATGTAAAACATAATAATGACGTCTCAATACAAATCCAAGATACAAGGGATATTTTGTTTAGGGGTCTAGAAAAGAAACTATAAGTCATAAAAGGTAGCAAGAGCTTAAAACACATTAAGGTGACATAATTCCTTTGGAGGTGCCAACTATTTGAATAATTGTATTTTTTATTTTATCTCATCTTTAAAAAAGAGAAAATAAATATTATGTTATCACCTACTTAATAATCAAGTGATGAAAATTATATATGTATATGTATATATATATATATATACACAAACACAATCCATTTAATTTAATATTATAACAAATCAAAGAAATCACAAGAAGATTATTAAAATCTTAAAATTTAAGTGGAAAAAAATCAAATCAAGATAAAATAATATATATTAGAAGATGTGAACACGAGTTTTAATAAATGTAACTGTTAAAACAAACCAAGTTCAAAATAAGGATAAAATAAATAAATAAATAAAAATACATAAGTTATGCAGTCACTAACTACTATATCCTAACCCTTCTTTGTTCGTTTTACTTTGCATAAATGTATAATGCTCTAGGAATCAACTTCTTAATAAAAAAAAATAAAAAAGTTGTAAATATAAACATAATTAGTACAAGAATAATATAAAGTTGCAAAAGGATCACTTATGTTACTATTACTTTATTATACATGTGGAACTTTGCTAATCATGTTATATTTTAGGTCAACTACCTTAATTTAAGAAAATATTCGGGATATAAGAAATTTATAAGGAAATATCACTTTATAAAAGGAAAAACTTCATATGTTTTTGGAATATCATGTCTTTACTTGCCAGAACATACTGATTTTCATTTATTTAATTAACAAAACTTATTGAGATAAATGTTGTTTTTTATGACATCTGCAAATTTGCAAATCAATAAGATAGCTATCTCCACATGGTATATATTTCTAATTTTTTGTTGATGAAAAAGATCTTATATGTAACAGTATGATACAGGAAAACATGTATATGTGTGTGTATATATATATATATATATATATATATATATAATACAAATCATGCAGAGATTTATCATAAAATTTTTAACGTATTGTGTTATTAAAACTTGACAGTAAAAGCATTCAAAATCATTTGTGTACATTCATAATATGTGTAATGCTTGTGCAAAAAAATGTACAAGACATACTCTTGTATATAGAAACGTAAAATGCACCAAAAACTTATCTAATGTATGTTGTAGGTTGAAGGCCGGCACCTGCTTTTCAATATAATTTAATTCCAAGTAGCAATACACTTTGATACATTATGTTCTTTTATGCAAATAATTTTCATGAATTTAAAATATAACATTTATCATTTTATTTTTAAATCGTAACTATATCATATAAGGTTAACAAAATAAAAAATAAAAAATAAAAAGTAAAATCTCAGTTTTACTGATGTAATACATTGATTTTAATCAAAATAATATTGGAATCAGCATGTACTTTAAAAATCTCTATTATGCACTGACCTTTGAAGTAGAGCATTTAGTGATTTATTTATTTATTTATTTATTTATTTTTCCAAAATCCCAGCATATTTATATACACACACCAAAACTCAATAGTAAATTTAAAATTATTAAAAATTAATTAATGCAAGAAAGTAGTCACATAGAGATTACAAAAGAAATAATTATCCAACAATAAAGTTAATAAACTTTAAACGATTACTTAAAATGAATGATTCTAATTGAATAAGTAGTGACAGATATGACCTTAGCCTTAACAAAATCAGAAGCACTTCTTTATATTGCACAAGTCATTGTTGACTTCCATTAAATTTTAAAAAATAAAAATAAAAATAAAAATGTATAGTTACACAGACTTAAACATACATACAAATATACATATATCATTAATTTTTGGCAGTGCTATGACCAAAGGGAGAGGGGAAAACAAGGAGGTGGGGTGGGGAAGGGGGTGTGGCTTTAACACCTATATATATATATATATATATTATATGTATATTTATTGACACACATACACACATGCATACACCTAGTGATAAATGAATGCACTATACATTTCAAAAGACAGAAGCACGAGCATCCACGAATACCCAAAAGCTGGCCACGAATGGGCACGCTCGTGTACCTCAAAGCAAACCCTAAAATCCAAAACCAAAAAAGAACGAGGGAAAGCGAGCGAGAGAGAGTGAGAGAGAGCGAGATTTCTGACAAGGAATTCAAGTTGGCCGTGCTCCGATGATGCTGATGCAGAAAGAAAGAGGAGGAGGAGGAGCATTGCATTCATCCCCAATTGTACCCCTAATTCTATCTCTTCACCACAATTGTGGGACACAGATAGACACACACACACACACACAGTCACATAGAAAAATGCCGCTTCGGGGGAGGAAGGAAGGAAGTTCAACCTCAATAACAATAAAAACCCCTTATCAATTTATATATAGATAGATAGATATATAATATTGTAGAATTGTATATTTTTGTTTTTAATTTTATCACGCGTTCTTTTAGATCACTGTTTGGGACGGACAAAAATTCACCCGCTGCTGTAGCGCTGGAACTGGCCTGACATTCCCAAGGAATCGTTGCTCAGGTAACACCCCTCGCAATCTCGTATCTCATTGGCTGGCTCCTACCCTCTTCCTGCTCATTTTTTTGTTGGTTTTTTTTTTTTTTTAATTTTTTTTAATTATTTATTTTTAATGCACGTGTTTTGTTGGTTTGTGGCATGGACTGGGGTCGCCTCACAAGAGTCGTTATGTTGAGCTGGCGTGATTCGAATCACCTGCAAAGAACTGGATCTTCTGTGAATTCTGGTGGATAGGGGTGGTGAAATCATAGTTTCGTGAGGCTGTTTGAGTCACTGTGGGGTGGATATGAAATTCACCGCCATGGTCTGGTTAGATTCGGTATGTTTGTGTCCAAGGTGGTGTTGTCTGGAAACAGCTTTATTTGTCGACGAAAATCGAGCGAGAGCGAGAGTCTTACATCAGAGCTTATGATGTACCGATTACCTCCACCGTCAGCTTGCCAAGTAGTTAATATCAGCCACGTTCTGTAGTGCCCTGATCACTACACACCTTGCTTTTCTGAAGTTATGAATCCCACTTCAGGTGCTCCCTGTCGCTGCTGCATGGACATGAATGCACAGAATCGCAGGTGGGTTATCACGAAGTATGGAGAAACGTGGTAAAGCGAAGCATCGTCTGACACCCAGCAGTGAATGCGTTTAAAAGTGTCGAACCAGGTAAAGAGAGAACAGGTGGGGGGCTTCAATTCCCTCAACAAGGTCGAGTTAAATTCCATCCAGACCCTTGTCAGGAGCATGAAACGCACTGCTGGGGTGTCGTACTCTGTCACGGTGGAGTGACGCATCTTCCCGCAGGTATGGAGCGTCCTCTAACTGCTACACAGTGCATTGCAGAATTGTCTGTAATGGTGGGACGTGGTTTTAAGGACACTTAAACATTCCAACGTATCATAGATACATAAGACCGCAAGGGCCTGTAGGAATCACTAAACAATGTAAATTAAGCAATAAGAGAGACAACATATTAATAAACTTTTGAGCACAAGAGATGACAAATGATAGTGGGTTACGAAAACCCGGAAATTATTCAAAAAGCGTCTGCATGTTGATGAGAATGGTGTAACTCATGATGCTATGAGATCGTTCACGTTGAGCGAATTGGTTGCAAGTCAGCGGCTCGATACACGTGATGCTGTGCGGCTACAATTGACGCTTTGGATGATCAACCAAGAAAAAGGGAATCATAAAAATATCCCGATTGTGGTGATTGAGAATTAGTGCGGTTATCACTAATAGATTTGCACCTGAGGATTATTAAAAGTGAGGTATGGTAAAATAAGTCACTTTATCATATAATTGCAGGTTTTTCACTCACAATCTACGAATCAGTTAATCAAAATTTGCCTAATTAAATCCAACTTTACCACTGGAGACTCTCAGTCAACCGCGCCTGAACCCACATATTCGTAGTGATGAATCAGTAGTGTACCAATTCCTTCATATTCATACTTTTCCTCTCATCTGACTTGGTCCACAATGACCGTGTAAACTCCTTTCCTTTACATCAACTACCTTTGACATATCTCCCCAAAAATAGTACTGAACCGCAGTTTCACAAACAACTTCCATTCGGCAAAGCTAAGCATTGCTGGAATGGCATCAATCTTTCGACAAATATTATATATAATATCGGTGTTTTAGATGCAGGTATAGTTTTAACTTCACATATAAAGATACCCTCGAAGACGTAACATGCACCAAGATGAGTTTAGGACTTCAACTGACGAATCCAAGCAGCAGCTTCGAAGGTTATCTTTCAAGGAACATCAGTTTACCGTATAACACCGGTTATGTAATAAGATGTACATATGTCAACTAGATCGTGGAAGGTGCAGAGGCCAGTCTCATCAGGATGTAAAGTTTAAGGTCAAACTCACTTCAAGTCACGAGTGTAGATTGAAGCACCTAATTACATCCAAACATAGATCATCAGCAGTGCTAAAGCCCGATTTGTAAGAGAGTTGAGCACATACTGAAAGGAGTTGGGCTCTATACAGAGACACTAAAGCCTGCACATATTGATTAGACCCTCAAAGACACTAGAACCCGTAGAACAGAGGAAGGAGTGTTCTTGCACCATTATTCTGATGATGAAATGCTGTGTCCTAGAGGCGCGCTGTGCAGATCTCAGTCCTAGAAACCAGCGGAATCCCATCCATACTGAAGACAAACGACGTAAATGCTCAACTGTTCACAAAAAGACAGAAAGATTACCATATAACTTTTGTACTGACATATTCCGAGAGCCTCTACCAGACAGAAAGGACTCGACTACATGATGCACATCAACATATGAAAATGAGATCATCGACGGTCACAGAAGCAATTGGAATGCGACGCACCCCTTCCTCTCCACACTGCGAATTTTTGACAACACAATTATCAAACTAAAATTAGATTCGATATATTACTTGGTGTCTGGAATAGTTCATATCAACAAAGTAACAAAAGGAAGAAAACTATTCTGTACGAGTTGCATCTATGCAAAGAACTCCATCAGTGATGATGGCAGATGTAGTAAGTACTCCAAAACTTAATGCAGTGATGAAAATCCTGCCATCGACACCAACCGCATATAATACATATTCTTAGAGGTCTAATACAATAGCATTCAATGATGTGATGAAAACTCTAGGACTTAGAAAACTTCCAAGAGAAAGACTCTAGACCTTTGAATACATAAACAATTCCTGTGAGATTTAGAAAAGCTTAAACCCAAGTAAAAGCTCATCAAATACAGAACTGCCCTTAGTGAAAGTGTAAGCCTTCTAGAGTTTTTGAATCTGTACACATACATTATGGCTAGCTTCGTGGCATATTCACTTGCTGGACACCAAACGCAAGAGGAAGGACCTAAGGTTGTGGCCTGACCACATCTTCAGCAACCGCGCAGTCATCACCTAACACGCCAAAAGCACAAAAGAAATCAACTCCTAGACTGAAAATATTGAAGAGATCCCGTCCTTTGTACATACTGCACATAGAAATCCCACATCCTCAACTAGTCTGTTTTGAATTCTAGGGCAAATACACATTCGGCTCACAATGGTAACGGCTTCTGCCCTCATGTTTATGTCCCCAACCACGCACCTATAACTAACCTTCAGAACAAGTTTCAACCAGATGCATCACGATCTGACTCTTAAATGCTACCTGGCTCTGTTTACAAAAAACAAATACGCAAATGATACAAATCACAGACCCTTATCAATCGCAATGCTCCACAGCCTTTAACACCTTTTTATAAAGATACTCACTTGGAAATTACTAAACTGTAAAACATATAACAACCGATCCAAACGTTCCTGTTCAACGCCAATTCACCCACTTATCCACAACAAGTTAACCATAGTCACGCCGATCAAAAGAACCATTAGACTTGGAAGCAGAAACACTGCAACAGAATTCATGTCCAAGCTGGGAAAACCTAATTTACTTCATAAACCTCAAAGTGACCGAGAAGAAAAGGCAAAAATTACCTGGAATCTTTAGTCTTCCATTGCTATCCAACGCAGATCCACAACTTTAGTATCGATATCAATGAGAAATTGTCAAAGAATGACCCGTAATCCAACTCTTGCCCTAAACCTCTTCAGATCTAAAACCCTAAATCAAGCCCCACCAAGCAGAAGAAGCATCACCATCTTGCTCATTCAAATCTCATTTTTTGGTTCCATTAAATAGTTTACGGGAATGTGTGTGGATGTTTGTGTGACTGTATGTGTACCTGGCTTTACTTCTTTGTACAAAATAGCCAATATGTGTCCTAGTTTGATACATTGTTTTCATGGTAAAATCAAATTTTTTTTTATGCATGGAACCTATTGGGGAGAAGATTCGAAGCTTTCTGTACGCAAACCTGGAGTTGAAAAGTAACCACGAAAAAATCAACTATGTGGATTTGATTTCTTTACGTTAGTTTTAGTTTTTGTTTTTAAGTTTTTTTGTTCTTATGAAATTATGCAATCAAAATATGTTACTTAGAGAAAAATCACTATGCAATTTGTTTTTTTAAAGAACACATTTCATTCTTCAAAATGTTACAACACTAATATAGCATGCAAATTAAAATGATTAATTTAATATCTTTTATCTATAAAATATCTAATCTTAAATACTAAATTAAGTTATATTATATCTTATTGTTTTTTATATTAAAATATTTTAAAACAGAATTGTTAAAATTTTAAAAGAAGCATTTTAAATATGTAGAATTTTTGTTCATATAATTAGAATTCATTTTTGAAAAATTGAAATAATTTCTATAATATACTAAACATGTATTTAGAAAAAGAAATCACATGATTGACTAAAAGTAGTTTTGGATAAAATGACAAATTTTATTTTCAAAAATATTACCAACATATTTTAAGTATAAATTAAATAATTTTTTGTTGCATGATAAAAATATTGAAACATTCATTTTTCTTAAATATAATATATTGATTATACTATTACACTAATATTAAAAATAAAATATCACATAAATAAATATGATTCAAAATTAAGTATGTTTCATAATACTCAAACAAATACAAGTTAATAAATAATCAATCTAATAAAATAATTAATTCTAAATTTCTATATACTAAATTTTTATAAAAGATACTTTTGACTAATAAAACTAGTAATATCTACTTAAAATTCACTATTAATTTTTTACTATTAAACATCTATAATTTTTCATGGATATACATAGGTACTATAGTAAATACCTATATGATTAGCTAGAAGTAGGTAAAAATAGATAAAAGTAGATTAATTTCATAACACCTTTTAGAGAAGCTTCCTAAAAGCTTCATAGACATTGCTTTGATTTTACATGTGTTTTTAGTTTATTCATTGGTTAGAAACTTGGTCAACAAATTAACCACATCTTGATAGCTTGTGGAACAAGTTAACTATGTGGCGCACATATAGAAAACTTACCGTGCAAGTTAAGATACGTGTCTTGCAAAATCAACACGTTTAAGAGGTCCTATAGGACATTGCCATGTAGCTTTTAATTAAGAATATATATAGAGACAAGAGTGAAGCCTTTTTCACTCTTGTCAATGCCTTTCTAGTCCTTAGTCTTATTTTAAGACTTTTTAGTCTTCTTGTTTTTAGCAACAGCCATTATGGTTCAATATTATATCATCTTTGAATAATATTCTAGTTTCTTTTAGTGATACAGGAGTGTATTGAGGATTTTCTTTTTTCAAGTTTCATGTCTTTGATATTTTGACAAAAGTGCTAACTTATTATTTCTATCTTATTTTAAAAGTGAGTGGGTTATTCCATGTTTATTGTTGTATTTTGAAGGTTGAGGACTACTCACTTTTAAATAAAAAAATCTTGTTTTTTAACACTAATCTTTTCTTTAAAGAGATTGAGTTATCCCTCTTTGTAGAAATATTCATTTGAGGCTGCAGATTATCCTCCTCTAATTTAACTTTTGAATTTATTTGAATTGTCTATAGAAGGAAAGATTATCGATGCTACTCTCATTGAAAGTGAGAATAGATTTACAAGTATTGCACATCTTTATGAGCTTGTCAACACTCTAAGAGTGAAAATCTTACATATTTCCAACGTGAATCATGGAAGTACAATACCTACACCTATGAAAGAAGTTTAGAGTCTATGGTAAGAAATTGTGTAGTTAAAGAAAGCATGTAGATTGATCTTACAACCAAATTTAAGAAGTTTTGCTTTTACAAGTATGATGGAGATAAGAATTGATATGCCCGAGAAGTTTGATGGAACAAGATCCAAATTTTGATGATTTTTGCAATAAGTCAAGCTCTATCTAAGGTTGCATCCTTTCCAACACCTCAATGGATTTACTCAAGTTAGATTCATAAGTGCATTTCTATCAAAAAGTATTTTTTCTTGATTTGCACCTTTAATGGAAAAGAATTTGTGATTCTTTTATGATTTGAATTCATTCATAGAGGTATTTATGGTGTCATAATGTAATATTACTATATAGTGAAACTATAATCAAAATTATATTTTTAATTATTATCTAATTATCTTAATTCAGTAATAATTCAAGGTATCTAAACATGGCTTTTATAAAAGCCTCGTAGGTTATTTTCTTATCTTAATAGTTAGTAGGTTGAAGGTTAGTTAGTAATTTTACTTTCTAACTGTAGAGACTCTCTTACTACCTTAGAAAGACCATAAATTGATAAAATCAGGATAGAAGAGATAAATAATTAATATAATTGATATTAGAATTAAGTTGAGGATAAGGTTGGGCTCAAAAATCCTTAGGATAGATTAGATTGATACCCAAGGATCGAGTGTTTGTGAGACATGGTCGAATTAGACCTATGGCTACTAAAACAATCGCCTAGGGCAAAATAGAGATTCATTTGAAGATTGGAGATAAAGATTTGAGAGCTAGGTTAGGACTTATTCTAAAAATATAAGATTGGTTTCGATAGGATTTAGGGACTTAATAATTATTATTAGAAGTTAAGGTTTGTATTGACAATTTGGGATTTATGCAATGAAATTAAGGCTAGCATTCTTGGCTAGTTCCTAAAATTGGTGTCACATCTATAATTCAAATTTTGACAATGCTTGGTTAATTAGGTTTTCTAAGTATATGTAAAATTTTGTAATAATCTAATAATGCAATTGAGAGATATTTGGATTTTGGTACAAGAACAAATCAGAAGTTGGTAGTTTAGAGTTGGATAGGATTTCTATGATATTTGGAGATCTTCTAGTTGAATCATGGTGAAATTTGGCATGGTATTGAAGGACTTGAAGATCAAGGTGGATACCAATTTTAAATCAAAGTTAACAGTTGGAGAAGGAGAAATCACTACTCGAACTTTTGCTTCACCTTTCAAGTTGGCAGTCGAGTGACATCAGTGCAGTTTTTGGAGGTTTTCTCACAACATGTAAGTTAGATTGGGTTGAAAAATCTTAAGCATATAGAACACTTATATTAATAATTGAACGTAAAATTTTACATCAAGTAGATAGTAAAATTAGAAGTTATAGCTTGTCAAAGCTCACTAATTAAGGTTGGAGCTTACAAGAAAAAACTAAATTGCTTAAATATGAAAGTAACAAGATAATTGAGGTTTATGTGTAATTGAAGCTACTGAGAAGAATGTTATTTTAGTAATTTTGAATAAGAATTTGGATCATATTCTTCTCATATGCGTAAAACCTATTAAGATTTCTTGGATATTTGTGAAACACAACCTCTGCTTTCACAGCTAGGTGCCCGGTGCATTTCCAAGCAAGACAATATGTAATACAATAACGATCACATTTGGAAAAAGTGATCAAGAAAGAGTAGTAGAGACCAAGCTCTTATCTTTATAGTAAGGATTACAATCAATCACCATATATATTGCAGAATTCCAAAACCTTGCTTGCGACATAGGCTGGAATGACAAAGCCTTTGCCAATCAATTTTGATATGGATTCAAGGATAATATCAAAGATTTCTTACTGACAATACCAAAGGTAAAATCTTTGAAATAATTTATTGCTCAAGCTATTACATGTAATAATCGATTATTTGAAAGACTTCAAAAATAAAAATATAGCTATAGAAAAACAAATCAAATAATGATGATAGCTCTCAAGTTTTCAAAAACTTATTTATTAAGGCCAAAATCAATGTAAATTAATACAACACATTTTAAATTTCTTACAGAGTAGAAAAAGACTCAAGAACATTAAAAAGGCTTATGCTTATATTGTGGAGAAGCTATATACACTATTAAATATTTTCCAAAGAAATAACACAATCACATAATGAGAAGAACAATAGCCAAACAGGATGATATATCAAAAAATAAATTTCTCTAGCTACAATAGATACCATGCAACTAGGATCTTACATAATTCCTAGTAAAGGTCTTATTCTCTCTTCAGATCCTTCACCTTGTTTTATAATAGAAGTTTATTTAGGACCAAAAAATCACAAAGTCTTAACTTTTGTAGTTTCATGAGCCTTAGCTTTTTTTATAGACAAAGATTTTGTTAAAAAACAAGAAATGTTGTTAATCAAAAAACTAAACATATACATGTAGAAGCCATAGATAGTTGTTTGCTATCTTCTTGAGATGATATGCATAAGATTGTTCTTTTAGCAATTAAAGATTATAATATCATAGAAATATTTAATATAATAAGATTTTTATTTCACCTTGTTATTTTAGGATTATCTTGATTTAAAAA